ATCCTGAAGCAAGGACTTACAGAGTTATAAAAAGAAAAAAAAATGCACAGTGATTCCAGTGCATCACAAATTATAGTAATATACTTAAGAATATTACACCCAATATCCAAAGATTTAGTCATTTGCCCTCAAAATGTAAAAAGTCAGCATAAACTGTTTTAAAACTTTGCTATTCTATAATTGTTGAATAAATCATCTATCATTTCGGTGTACCATAGCCAATAGCAATTATTTATTCCCAGTTGCCCTGTGTATATCTTAGTGTTATTATTTTATATTATATACTAAATTGTTAATTTAAAAAGTGCCAATAAAACAGCATATTCCAATTCTCAATTCTACAGTATCCTTAAAGATTTTTTTTTCCTGGCTCCAACATTGGGATTCTCTAATATATGCTTGAGATGCTGTCTAAATGAATTTAGACTTCCAGGCCCATAATAGACAATTCAGTACAACAAATATATTAAAATGTTAAGAGACAAAGACTCAGGGAATGAGCAGAATGGCAGATCTGAAAACAAACAGACAATAGTACTGTACTACCAAAAGGGTTGTTTATGGATGACAATGAGCACAAGATAAAAACATAAATCTGAAAGCAGCTTAGCCTTGAGGGAAAGTATGGAAGTAATGGGAAATATTTTGTCATTGCAAGGCCACAAGCACAATCAAATTCTTCAGTGAGCACTGTTCAAAATGAAAAGCAAAAGAGCAAGTAATAGCTTCAACAACAAATCCTCAACAACAAATGTTTAGGCCACATGCTATATCACAAACCTAAGACTAAGTGACTAGTATAGCTAGAGAATGGCTGAGGTTACTTTGTAATGAAGTAAAATGGTCCCTCCAGAATTATCCGAAGCATTTGAGGTGGCATAAGGGAGAAAAACTACTTTTAAAATGCAGCCCCCCCCACAAAAAAAGTTCTAGAGGTCACATTTGCAATAGCAGGGAATGAATATTCCCCCCCCCACCGCCCTTCAAAATGGCTGCTGGCCTGTTCTAAGCAATTGAGCAACTCAGAAGTGAGGATAAGACCTAGGATCTTCTGTGGTCTGGTATTAATTGCCTAAAAATATTACCCCTATTTTGTGGACCATACGTTAGATGCCAATAGGTTGCTGGGCAGAATCAAAGCGGTGACTTTGACTTACAAAGCTTAGAAGGTTGGACACCTTTGCTGATTTAATTTATAAATGACATTTATAACCTACCTAACTTAGAATGACTCTGGGCAGCATAGAATTATAAACAAATCTAGTGTCAGGATTCCAAGTAACACACCCATAGGAATCAAAACTCCGAGGCAGGTGGATTCCTCAAAGAATAGATTTATTTATTGGATATGTCATATTGGCACGAGCTGGTGAAAACCGACTCTAAATGTTCTCATGGTTTTCACCTAATTAAAAGTAAAAGTTCTTTGACTTTCTCCAAACAATCAGTCACATGGTCCAATCAGGATATAGTCCAGTTGCTAGATGACTCCAATCCCCTCTTTCTGGACACCTGGTGGGAATGTCCTTAGTTCCCAAGAGAAAGTATTTTATTTTGGCTTCAGCACCCCATCTATGTTTACTTCCCCCTCCCTTTCCCACAGCTCCAGTTGTGGCAGCACTGAAGCCCCAAAATGGCCTCAGCCAGTCAGCTTCAGGGTTGACATCTAGTACATTACAAAAACAACAACAAGAGAGCAACAACACAGGACTCAGATAAGGACTTTAAAGACCTGGCTTTGAGAAAATGGTTGTTGTGACTTTGTTATCTATTTTATCAAATAGGCCTTTAATTATTGTTATTAAATATTATATTTAATGTTGAATTATGTGGATGTTTTTATTGTTGTTTAGGGTGTTGTAAGCTGCTCTGAGACATGAAAATTTGCTTAAAATGTGATATACAAAGAATTTAGCAGGTTGAAATAAACTTCCAAGAGTCTGGCCATCAGCTTTTTCAAATCATTGTAATGTACTTTTATTTTTCACGGTTGATAGACATTTAGAAGAAGATGTCTAAAGGCAAAGATTAAAATGTGCAATGCATTGCATGCTCTGCTTTACTCATCACATAGTAGAAGGTCACCAGGTATCACATCATGAAATTCTGATTGTGCATTCAGCTCAGGATTTCTGTTCAGGCTGTGATATTCCTTCTTTCCTTTGCTTTGTTACACAATGCACATTATAGATTTCACCTTGTACCTTCAAGTACATTTTCTATTTTTCTCATTCCTGAGTACCTGATGCCTGATGAAAAGTCTATTGTATGTTTTTCATAAATCAGTACTTACTTATTTATTGAGTGAATTTTGTTGATATGCTAGATTTTTAACTGCAGCTACAATAATATTATGGCACTTATATCTCAGTAGCTCATAATAAAAGCAGTAGGTCCTTTTTATTAAAAATGAAAATATTTTAAATGAAAATGCAGGAATAAGATTGATGTAACAATTCATATTAGTTAGTTAGTTAGTTCATCTACTCCCCACTGTTAATGCAGTGGGGAGCCAGCCATGTTGGCTCAGGAATTCTGGGAGTAGAAGTTCACAGATCGTAAAAGGACCACAGTTCCCCACCCCTGCTCTAAATGATCAATGTTCAGTATATGTAGTAGGTGCCAAAACCAATTATGATAGATATTTTAAATTTTTCTGACTTCAAAGAGGATTGACCAGGTTATTTGATCACATATCACATTAGAATTTCAATAAATATGATTTCTGATAATGTAATGGTTGACTGTTTTAGTCAATCAGTCCTGTTCTTTTCTAGGACATTTTATCTCATTTTTTTCCATCCAAAGTCAGAGAATATTCTGGGACTGTGACGCATATTCAGTCCTTATAGGCAGATTCATTCCCCTCAGCAAAACTTAAGGTTACTTCTAAACTTTCTGATAAATTAGCTTGTACAAGAGTGGTATATTCAGCTCTGAATTTTGAATTTAGAAGAAATAAGTGGAATATAAAATTCTAGGTACTGATTTTTATTATTCCACCATTCTGTCCTATCCCCCTTTCCCCCCTTTTCTCATTTTTTTTTCAACAATCTATCTGGGGTCATCGAACAGATTTAAGTTGAATTACTGTTTACTATGGAAGGAAGGAAGGAAGGAAGGAAGGAAGGAAGGAAGGAAGGAAGGAAGGAAGGAAGCAAGCAATTGCTCCTGAAAAGAAAAGAAAAATCACTATTTAAAAAAAAATTAAAGCAAGACATTATTTGCCTAGAAGAGACACCAGAAAACATTTGACACCAAAAAAACATTTGACTTACAGATCCTTGGGTGAAGAATTTATTTCAGCAGATATCAAGAAGATAAATGGAGTTGCTTTGTATAGCAATCTCAATTAAACCCAGAATTTGTATTAACTGATAAACATCAGAGATTTGTTGGGATAGAAGTTAATACAGTATATATGGGTTTAAAACTAAGATGCTAGGAGTTTATTCCCTAAATGAAAGTGAAGTGACCTTTTACAAACAACTTATAGAGTCTAGATAGATTTCTCTTATGAAAATTGGCATTCAGGGCATTCAAATATTAAAATTATTATATGGTAAAATACTAAAAGTCTTCTTTGATTTGATGGAGAATTTACTGTGGGTTGATATATGGAGACAGAAGAATGATAGTTCAAGTGAATATATCAAATTTTAAGAAAAGTGTTGATTTTTTTCAAGAAAACATAGGAGTTAAATATTAAATATAAAGAGTTGCTGGGGGAATATTTAACAACAAATTAAAATTTGATAGCACAAGTATCCATGTTAACAATAAGTAAATAGAAATAAAATAGAATTATATGAAACAAACAAAATTTAAATTTGTGAATAAACCAGGGAAATGGTTGGCTTATAAATCATGAAGAGAAAGAGAAAAGAAAATGATACTGAAATTACAAGAGAGGCATACAGTATTAATGGATAATGTGGCTATACAAAAACATTTTATCAATAATACTCTGATTTGTATACAGGACATGATATTTCTATAAAGAAAATAGGAACAATATTTCAAAAAAATAAAATCTATTGAGGATTACAGAAGAGGATTAAAGAAGAATGAGTAACAGTAGGAGAAGCTTCAAAAGCTATCAATAAGAGTAAATCTGGACAAGTGCTTGGACCAGATGGGTTATGAAGTCTGCATTATAAGTCTTTTGAAGATTCACTCTTACAACCACTACAAAGCATAATGAACTCTATTTTACAGGGAGGAAAGTTGCCATAGACTTGGAAAGATCCTAAAATAACATTAATGCCTAAAGACGGGGCAAGATTTGATTTTAGCAAGAAGCTGCAGAGCAATATCATTATTGAATAATGATTATAAGAGGTTTACAATTATTTTAGCTGAAAGGCTGAAATTAATTTTGCAAGAATTTCTTGATGAGGATGGATGTAGTCTTCTACCTAAAAGACAGTTTAAAGGGCAGTGCTAGAACAGAGCTGTATATTTGAACAAGTTAATGAATCATAGGCAAGCAGAAGCTGTTTTTTTCTGTTCCATAAATAAAATAAAAAGCAGCTATATTTCTGTCCCATTATGGCCTTAAAGCAAATTAGGCTTTTAGCAAACTCATAGGCTTTCACAGAGTACTGGTGGTCTTCTGATAGAATGAAGATTCAGAGTTCATTATCTTGGGGAGACACTTTTTGTAGATTGATGGCTGGCTATAAGTATTAAATTGATCACTTGTTTTTGATTCACTGGTAGCCTTTGTACGCTTTGTCTCCATTATACATGTTCAAGATATAGTACTAGATATAGTAGTTAATTTCTGAGAAATCCAATGGCTTCTTGGAACCCAATTTCCTGGAAACCAAGAAATTACATAGTATCTAGCTACTGAAACATAACATTTCAGATCCCTGATCTAACCTACTCAGAATTTTACTGCCTTGTTTATTTTGAAAGCAATTTTCAAACCAGTAGGAAGTTTCCCAGCAAGGAAATAAATATTTAAATATTTCATATTTTCTTTCTCCCCAAAGCTCACCAAAAACAATACTGTACTTATGGAACCAAATATGGAACTGATGTTCAACATTTCCAGTCCCTTTGATGAATACGTCTCACCAGAATGGATATTCTTACAATAACTCATCTGTATCTGCATAACACCACTATATTTACCAAGGTATTGGTTTGCATTTTAATAAGGATTCCACATTATTCAAGTTATCATGTTATTGGATACTAATAAATATTATTCGGAAACCAGGACTTCAAGAAGGAGGCCACAAAAATCCGATAGCTCATTTCCTTCATACTAATTCCTCCTCTAATGAAAATTCTGTGCAAATTAAAAGCATTCAAGGCTCAATTCACTTGTAATATCCTTGGGCTTTAGATCCCATAGATATTAATCTTAAACATTAGAAGATGTTACTCTTTTAACCATCCAGTTTTTCCTAGCTTGGCTCATCTTCCAAATATTAAATACTTTGAGCTGTGTTTACTTCCAATGTAATATCACCCTCTAGTTCTATGAAATTGAAACTTCTTAGCATCTTTTAGATCTTAACTATAATCTCAGCATCTGAATGTTTTTATTTACCTATTAAATTCATTTATATGGATGCCCATCTACCACTGAAACTCTGAGTGGTAAACAAATATAAATATATAATTATAAAAATTAATTGAGTAAAAGAGAAAAAATAATAAATAAACAATAAATAAATAATAAAAAAACAATGCGAAAGCTCTAATAAAAATCTCAACACTATGGATTATGCTCAAGCATGACAAAATTGCATTAACATCCTGGCCCCAGTAATAAACTGAATGTATATTTCAATTTTTTTGCAACTATTTCCTGGAAAATATTAGCAGCCTATGAGATGGAATTTTGTTTGTGTCTGTTTTTTGGAATAAATGTTTGGCTGGGCACCTAAAATAACTGATGCCAGGAGTAGGCTTAATAATGTTGATGAAATTAGAAATTCTGAATGATATTAACTTGCATGGCTTATCTCAAATAAAACCTTTCATAATGTATTTTGGAATATAGATGGGAAAATATTAAGTACTAACTTGACAAGAAAGAGTGTGTAGTTCAGATTAGATAGATGGCTTTAAGGAAAAATGCACTGTTAACATTTGGTGACCACTTTCAACTGTGGGTTTCTTGAATTTCAATCACATCAAATCTCTCAGAATTAGAACTCATATGTACCTCCTTTGATCAGCAAAACTGTACAGTGGTACCTTGGTACACATTGTTAATTGGTTCCAGGAGGCATGATGAGTACCAAAAATGATGAGTATCAAACAAATTTTTCCCATAAGGAATAATGTAGTGAGTCACAAGATAGCTGACCCTGACAAGTTCTAGCTTTTGCAATGAGTACCAAAGAAAGGATGGGTACTGGGACAAAAAGATATAGAGACTCTAGAAAGAGTGCAGAGAAGAGCAACAAAGATGATTAGGGGACTGGAGGCTAAAACATATGAAGAATGGTTGCAGGAACTGGGTATGTCTAGTTTAATGAAAAGAAGGACTAGGGAAGACATGATAACAATGTTCCAATAACTCAGGAGCTGCCACAAAGAAGAAGGAGTCAAGCTATTCTCTAAAGCACCTGAGAGTAGGACAAGAAGCAATGGCTGGAAACTAATCAAGGAGAAGCAACTAAAGCAACTTAGAACTAAGGAGAAATTTCCTGACAGTTAGAACAATTAATCAGTGGAACCACTTGCCTCCAGAAGTTGTAAATGCTCCAACACTGGAAGTTTTTAAGAAGATATTGGATAGCCAATATCCAATGGCATAGGGTGGTGTAGGGTTTCCTGCCTAAGCAGGAGGTTGGACTAGAAGACCTCCAAGGTCCCTTCCAACTCTGTTATTCTATTCTGTTCTATCCAAAATTTGCACACCAGAATGCATTGCGTACCAAATTCAATGAGTTTCAACGCAGTTGAGTACCAAGGTATCACTGTAGTTGAAAGCTAGAGGGGGACAAAGAGTTAGGTCAATGTTTCTTAAAGTCAAGAGAAGATAGAGGAAGAGCGACAGAGAAAATTTTCTTTGCAAATCCTTTCCTGGGCCCAAATTCAAAGCCACAGGCTGTGCAAATTATGCAATGATCTTTTTCCCATCTGTATTTTGATCCATGATAAATGCCGGGGTGTCAAACTCATGGACCACAGGCCATATGTGTCATGTGCTGGCCACGCCCACCCTGGTTTAGCAAAGGGGGGGATATGTCATGTGACAGCAATGTTTGACACTCCTGATATATGCCTTTTAAACGAGGTACATCATGCCTGGAGCAGAAGACTTCTATATGCAAAACTGATCACTTGATCTATCATTCACTCTGCAGAGGGAATTGTGAGAGAAGAGAAAGGATGAAAGAGGGGAGATAAGTTGAAACAAGGAAGAAAATACAAGAGCAAGAGAGATGGAAGGGAAAAAGGGAAAAGAGAAAAGAGAAAAAGCAGCTTTCAGCTGCCAGTGATTTGCTAGCTACAGCTTTTTAAACTGATGTAAATCAATTGAGTATAATTTCCTTATTTCCTGATTTTAGTGACTGCAAGTGGTTGCCTTCAAAATGACAGGCAGATTGCTGTTATGTGAATTTATGTAAAAATAAATGGACCTATCTTCCACTAAAATATAGAACATTTCATTGATTAGATGGGATATTGCTTAATTCCAATGAAGTAGTTTTGTTTTATCAAATTGCAAGAATTTATCATTGTTTTAATTTGATAATTTTAAATCTGGAGATGGCATATTTTTTTCATTGCTTAACCCTTGTTCTAATTCAATAATTTGTTTTATTAATTGGATGAGGGAATCTTATGCAATCAATGATCCGAAAAATGGACCTTGCACTTGTGGGAATACTTTAGGAGGAGGAGGAGGAGGAGGAGGAGGAGGAGGAAGAAGAAGAAGAAGAAGAAGAAGAAGAAGAAGAAGAAGAAGAAGAGAAGAAGAAGAAGAAGAAGAAGAAGAAGAAGAAGAAGAAGAAGAGAAGAAGAAGAAGAAGAAGAAGAAGAAGAAGAAGAAGAAGAAGAAGAAAAAGAAAAGGGAGTCTTATACATTCATTTCATATTAGGGGACCCAGCTTGCTCCAGTAGTTAAGGCATTAGGCTAGAAACCAGGACACCATGAGTTCTAGTCTCACTTTAGATATGAAAAATTTGCTGGGTGATTTTGGACCAATCACTCTCTCAGTCCAACCCACCTCATACGGTGGTTGTTGTGGTGAAAATAGGAGGAGGAAGAAGTATTAGGTATGATTGCCACCTTGAGTTATTAATAAACAATAGTAGGGAGGGATAAAGAGGAAGGAAGGAAGGAAGGAAGGAAGGAAGGAAGGAAGGAAGGAAGGAAGGAAGAAAGAAAGAAAGAAAGAAAGAAAGAAAGAAAGAACCTCTGAGTTCTAGCTTTCTGTGCCTTTTTTTATCTAGTGGATGTCTGAATATTTGCAGGCCAGATTGGAAAGAAAATCTTTTTTTAAGAATAACAGAGTTGGAAGGGACCTTGGAGGTCTTCTAGTCCAACTCCCTGCTTAGGCAGGAAACCCTACACCACTTCAGACAAATGGTTATCCAACCTCTTCTTAAAAACTTCCATGATGCAAACTTCGCCCCTTCCATTTGTGTCATAACATCACCTCCAGGTACTAAAAGTGTGGGGCATATGGCACGACACTGCTCTTGTCATTTTGAGTCCTATAGATGACTCTAAGATCTAGTTAAATTACAGTAAATTTCAGATCCTGAGCCTAAGCTGAAGAAATTGAATGCAATTTTTTGAGAATAGTGCAGCACTTTACTGGCTGAGCCATCACATATTTCTAGAAGTTGCTGTGCAACTGAAAAGCAGCTTCATGAAACCAGACACATTGAGGGTTGAAATGTTTCATCACATTCACACATATTTCATGTGTGTGAATGTGATAAAAATTAAATGCAGCTTAATACGTAGCATGGCAATGTAAATGATGTGAACAAAGATTGCATCTTAAGCATAAATAATTGACTGCCCATTTAATTGATATAGAATTCTCCATGACCATCTAGACTAGCATTTATAAGGTATGATATGAATGCAGGAATATATGTTCTGCCAAACCAAATCCACAATTTGACTTCCATAACAACCATTATTATCTGAAGGAGGGACAGAAGGAGGAACAAGTGACAAAACATTTGACATCATCATGCAAATGTCAAAAGTTAGAGCTGATATTAGACATTGGTGGCAGCTGCATCATGGCACCACTACTTAAAGTTTATTAATTTGATGTCCTCATAGTTTGTCCTGCTCCAGCTCCGGATTCCCGAGGATATTGACACACACCAATGGTCCTTATCAAATTTATTAAGTAGCAAGAATAAACCAAAGTCCGGCAAAGGTTGGCAACCAGCTCAGAAAACAAGATATGATAAGACTTTTCCAAAAATGCTCTGATGATAATTACAAGTTGTTTCCAGCAAGAAACTTACTAAGGCGTGTGACTTAAATAGGCTAAGGGAGTGGCCAATTATCCTCAAGCCTTACTCTCAAGGAGACCTCCTCCTCCTGAGTATCCATTCCTGCCTTTTGGCAGCCCTGCGTGCCCGAGCATTGAGAAGAAGCTCCTCCACTTCGCTCTCTCCACTTGAAGGAGCCTCTGGAGGTTCTGAAGGCCCTGGCTGAGTCTCTGCCTCTGGCACCACATCCTCTTCAGTGTCCTCGCTGTCCGACGCGAACTCCGGCTGCGCAGGTTGCTGGCGCAACACCACATCAGCCTCCTTGTCGTCGGGATCAGCCACGATCCGTGCAGGCCGCTGGCGGGCCACAACATAGTTTGCTGAAGATGTTGGAGATAATAAACAGGATACATGGCTCCTGGTCATTAGTTAATGACAAAATGATGGCTTTCAGCCTATTAGTAAATTCTATGGGCTACGAGGATGTCAAGTAAATAATCTCCACCTTCTTATTCCTGATAACAAAAGCAAGGTGAATTTTAGATGCTTATTTGTATTTCTTGGGAGGACAAGGTTTTAAATCCAGTTACGCAGCATAAAAAATAAATGGATAACAACCTTTGATAAATTTCTGCAGTAGCTGAAGACTTTCAGAAAGGTTAAGGTTGTCCCCTCTCCAACAGCCATAATTCCCTGATCTTCTACTCTGCTTCAGCCTTGTTTATCCAGATGTGGGTTTATCTTTTATCTTTTTTCTTTTAGGACATGAAAGTCATATTGGAACGTATCACAGAGATGACGATGTGAGTGAGGGCAAAGAATGACAACTGCTTTACCCTCACTCAGAAAGGGGTAGGGATAAGGAAGCAGAATGATGTGGCCTGCTTTGTTGTGGCAAAGCCTTTGAAGCTCATAGTGGTGTAGTTGCTATGGCAAAAACCCTGCCTTTCTCCCGCCTCCCCCCCCTCAAAAAAAAGGGTAACTTAATATTGTATTAGGTGCTTTCCTTTTTCTATAATAAACGATCGGTTACAAGTGTGGGGGAAAGGAGGGCAGATAGGGAGGAAAATATGCATTTGCACATGAAGAGGTATGATTGTTGCAACTCTTTCCTTCCATTTTGATTTGGTGATACTGATTCCTGCCTTAAACAAAGAACTCTGCTTCTTGTGCTATGTCTGAAGGTCTCCAGATGAAGGGTGGCAGTTTGTCCCTGGTTGTGAGAGTCCACTTTGAAAGCATATATATAAAAAGCATATATAACTGATTTCTTTCAGACCAAAAGATTCTTCAGCTCTCTTGTAGTTTAATTGTTCAATCATAGCAACAGCAATAGCACTTAAGACTTATATACCATCCTAATAGCACTTTATATCACTCTCTCTGGGTAGATTACAACATCAACATATTGCCGCCAACAATCTAAATCTTCATTTTAATGACCACAGAAGGATGGAAGGCAGAGTCAACCTTGAGCTGGTCAGGATCGAACTCCAGGCTCTGCACAGAGTTATCTGCAATACTACACTTTAACCACTGCACCACCAGGGCTCGTATTGATTTTCTGCATGCTTTTCAACTTTTTTTTTTTATCCACAGCACTACATTCTTATTTACTCTAAGGTTTTTTTAAGGTATTAAACATTAATTAATTTCATGGTCTAACACTATTTTTTTCTAAACACTTTACAATGTTTGTACAAGTAGGATCTTTTCCGCATTGAGCTGAAAGAGAATTCATCCTTCAAGGCCCATCTGAATCACCCTACAATACAGTTTCACAATTTTTGGAAATATTTCAGACTGTTGGTACATTGTGGTAAGTGCTGTCACCCTGGACTACATTTAACATTGTTTGTAATCTCCAACTGGGCTTTGATTCCCTGTTTAGATTTTAACAAACATATAGTGCATTCAGAAAGTATTGAGACCCCTTTCACTTTTGTCAATTTTGTTATGCTGCATCCTGATTCTGCAGTTGTTGAAATTCATTTGTTTTCTCATTAATCTATACTCAATACCCCATAATGACAAAGTGAAAACAGAATTTTAGAAATGTCTGTAAAAATTATTTTAAAAAATACTATCAACTATTCAAGTCATTGTTCACCTCTTTAGCCCTCCTATACTGTTGTTTAACATTATCTGTAGGAAATTCTTAAATGTCCCCTGATGGAATTCAGTGAATTCTTTAAATGTTTTCAACTGTATTGTCTTTAAATCTTGACATTTTCTTATAGCAGAGTGAAAAGTACTGTTCCATTTGCAAATGCATTACAAATCCAATTAAGGAAAATGAAATTCTAGTCATATTGTGATCAAAACTAGGTTTGCTAATCCATATGATTTTTTTTCTTCATTGGTATAGAACATAAGCACTTGAATGTGTCAAAAAAAAAAGCATTACATGTTACCTAAAATATTCTTTATAGTTTGTTTTTCTTTTTTCATAGTCAAGTAGAAGTTATCAAAGAACTCTATGATAAACATGAATTCAGAACACCAAACAGTACATGAACAATAATCACACATTTAGAATACTAAGATACAACATGACTATTTATTTGAGAATTTACTTATTTAAAACCTATTTATAAATCAACTCATAAAATCATTACCTTTAAAGCCCTATATGGCTCAGGGCCAGGCTATCTTTGAAACCGCCTTCTACCACATAGCTCCCAGCGACCAGTAAGATCCCACAGAGTTGTCTCCTCCGGGTCCCATCAGCTAAACAATGTTGGCTGGCGGGCCCGTAGAGGAGCGCCTTCTCTGTGGCTGCCCCGGCTCTCTGGAACCAATTACCTCCTGAGGTCCGGACTGCCCCCACCCTATTGGTCTTCCGCAAAGCGGTGAAGACCTGGCTCTTCCAGTAGGCCTGGGGCCATTGATCTAGTTATAATGATCTTGGGAGACCCAGCCACGAATTGGAGTGTATGTGTTTTAACGTTTTTAGCGTTTTTAACATTTTAATGTTTTTCTTTTTAACATTTTTATGGGATTGTTCGCATTGTTTTATTCTTTGTTGTAAGCCCCCCAGAGTCCCTTGGGAGTTGGGCGGCATAGAAATGTGACTAAATAAATAAATAAATAAATAAATAAATAAATAAATAAATAAAATGTTTTGAATCACTTAAGGGCATTTTTATACCCACAAATTAAGGACAGTTTTTTATACTTCTTCTCTCCACATGTATTTAAGAAATTTCCCAGGAAGCAGCTGGAAGGTGCATATCTATGTAATGCAAAGATGGCCAGATGTATCTTGGAAATAACTCCTGCATTTGCAATCTATTGCCAAAATTTGAGCATGAACGTTTAGAAGATTTGTATTTTACAGAGTTCAGGTTTTCTAATGTTCATCTTCTGAGCACTTTGTAACACATGCTAGGACTGCAATATTAAATTGTGTCCTATGATATTTTTGTTCCAGTAAACGCAATGGTTCTAACATATATATGCCTTGCACTTTATCTCTGTCTTTAATTTGATTATTTTTCCTGATTTTTTCTCTCTAGTTCTCAAATTTAATACTGAACCCTCCCTCCCTTCCTCTTTTTTTTTGTAAATAAGATGATTATATTTTTTTAAGATACTGAAACAAATGTTTCTCTTCATTGGATAAATGGACAGATTTCCAAGTACTTGGAAATCTGTCCATTTATCCAATGAAGAGAATAAATGAGTTGGGATAATATCAGTGCTACTCAGATTTCAGCCTTACACAAATGATATAAAACCAGGATTAAGGGACAAATAATGATCCAGTGTAACATGGGAAATTTAAAAACCAAAAGTGACTAGATCTTCTGAACTACTCTTCTTGAAGCTTGCTAAATATTCAACTTCTTATTCCAGATCGAAAGGGTACCCATATACATGCACTTCATAAGACCTGAGCTGATCATGGTACAAGGGTGTGAAAATCAGATACAATATAGTAATGCTTGCTGATTTACCTACAGCAGCTAAACAGGATAGGTACAACAGATAGTTAGGACTGCAGAAAAAAACAATTGCAACCAGCCTGCCTTACATTGAGGACCTGTTTATTGTACTGGTCAGAAAGCAGGCTGAGAAGTTATCTACAGACCTCTCACATTCTGGACATAAACTGTTTCAACTCCTCACCTCGGGACACTTCTATAGGGTACTCTATGCCAAAATAACTAGACACAGAGAGAGTTTTTCCCCCCCACTCATGCCATCACTACTGAACACCTAATCCCCACAGTACTGTCTTATATATATTTACCAATGTAGTATGTATAATCTTTTCTATTACCTTCTCTTATTGGCATCATTATGATTATTATTACTCTGTTATTTTGCATGGAGACGAATTCCTTGTGTATCTAATCACACTTGGTCAAGTAAACCATTCCATTCCATTCCACTGCACTGCACTGCACTCCATTCCCTAAACTCCACTCCACTCCACTCCACTCTCTACTCTACTCTACTCTACTCTACTCTACTCTACTCTACTCTACTCTACTCTACTCTACTCTACTCTACTCTACTCTACTCTACTCTACTCTACTCTACTTACTCTACTCCATTCCATTCCATTCCATTCCATTCCATTCCATTCCATTCCATTTTGTTTTTATTATACAGTACAGTACAGTACAGTACAGTACAGTACAGTACGGTGTGGTGTATGGTATCGTATGGTATGGTATGGTATGGTATGGTATGGTATGGTATGGTATGGTATGTATAGTATAGTATAGTATAGTATGTATAGTATAGTATAGTATAGTATATAGTATAGTATAGTATAGTATAGTATAGTATAGTATAGTATAGTATAACATTTTGGTTACCAGATCTCCAAGAGAATATTATGAGAAACTGAAAGGGTAAGTAAGTCAAGGAGGTCATAGCTATATAGTAAAAAGAAAAAGAAAGGAAGGAAGGAATGTGATAGGAGTTTAATAAATTATATATAGTTTGAAGAAAATGGATGTTGAGAATGCCACTTTCTTTTCTCCTAATACTAGAAACTAGTCAAATGAAATGTTAAGAGATTCAGGACAAAATGAAGCACTTATTCATACAGCATACAATGATATATTAACTTTTCTATGAAATGGATAATAGTCACTAATCTGAATGGCTTTAAAGGAGGATTAAATAAAACCATTAATTATAAGCTATCTCCAGGTTCCACAGCAATAATATGCATTTACATTGTCCTAATTTCCAACTTGTGGACATTGAAACAGGATGCTGATTAGATAACAATGGCCTACCAAAGTACATATATAAATCTGTAACATTTTATACTTAAAGCATTTCTACAATGATCTGGAAATGTCACCAAACTACTTATTATCCCAGCCTTGTGCTAGTATAAGATAAATGCTATGTGAGAAGACAACCATCCCTGATCTACAATGGTTTCATCTTTGTCTCTGAATATAATTAGGTAGTGAGATCAGAAACTCTACTTTCTAGGTGAAATTCTGAATTAGTTTTGCTGCTGTATTGGGAGGCACATGTTCAGATATATAATCTGTTACCATATTCAGGTTAATAACATTGCTTCTTTATCTTTGTTTATAATTAATTGATTAGACTGGAGCACCATCAATCACACATTCTTCCTCAGTTCATTTCAAAAATAAAATTATAAATCAACTTTATAACCATAAATATTGATCTAAGCCAGTTACTGAATGTAATTGTGAGCTGAAAACAAGAAGAGATTGCTAAAAATTGTCATAAAAATAGTTTCGTGCTCTTTTTTTTTTAAAAAAATGTATTTTGTCCAATCAATTTGCCTTGATAGTACTATTTTCTTGAGTGTTCTATTATAAAATTGTCATTCCATACAAGCATTTCTCTTCTGTATCTAACAGACCTTTATCTCTTTATAAATAACTTCATAGCAATGTATTTGACTATGGTTTAGTTTATGGTATGTCAATGAGGCAGGACTAACAGGAACAGGATGGCACACCCAAGAGTGTGCCGTTCGAGATGATACATCCTCCTAGTGCTTCTACTTTCCAACTCTCATTTGGCATGCTCCCAGTTTGTTTGGAAGCTGGCTCCAAGAAGATGTTTTGATGCTTCCTCTCTAGTTTGTGCCTGTGTTACGTATCATACAAAACCAGATACAGAAGGTTTTGTTTGTCATGGGAAAGATTAATACTCCCCTGATTGATACACTCAAAGCACCTGCCAGTTCATAAGACACAATCCTTGGTTAGACAAGCTAGTATTCAATAGAATAGAATGGAATGGAATGGAATGGAATGGAATGGAATGGAATGGAATGGAATAGAATAGAATAGAATAGAATAGAATAGAATAGAATAGAATAGAATAGAATAGAATAGAATAGAATCACTTTATTGTTACTTTAAATGTACACTAATCGGCATACATTAAAATGAAATTCCACTGCATGCAACTCTCAAAGGGTCACCACTTCCAATATATACTACATAACCATGACAGAATAAATAAATAAATAAACAAATACAAAATTATACAAATGCCCACATAT